AAAGAAAGTTGGTCAGTTATTAGGGGTGATGCATACCCACTATTTCTGGTCCAGCGCTAAAAATGTTTGCTCTTCAGTCTAAAATAGAATTCTAAGCAAGTCCCTCCCTCCTAAACACCAATCCCCCCCACCCAACCCAAAGCTGTTCCCTTTCCCCGCAGGCTACGTGAAGCCTGGATTTTACTCAGTGATGACTCAGCGATACAGATGCTGGTCTTTCCTGATGTCTGATAACCAGCAGAATGGGTCTATCTGTGTGTGTGAGTCTGAGGCAGGGGAATAGAGAATAGAAGCTAACTTGGCATCCTACAGGCTCTGGGGCTAAACTTGGCCCATGGCTAACCATGGGCCCTGGGGCAGCCCTATACAGGTACATCAGAGAAGGCCTAAGGGCCTCTGCTCATGGGAGTTGCCCTCTTCAGTCCTCACCAGCACCTGGTGAACCCTTCCCCCACCCCCATTCAGGAAACACTGTCTTCTACAGATGGCAGGGAGTTCGGCTTATCCTGCTCTTCTCTTCCTCCTCTTACTCTCTTGCCCACCTCCTTATAGCAACCATCGCACACTCCTCTGCCACATCCCCACCCAGACACAGCCCATATCTTCCCAGTGACCAGCATTCCCAAGCCTTTGGACACAGGTAAGCACTGCTGACCTTCTGGTTCCTGGAAATCCTGCTCCTTCCCACTAAAAAAAAAATCTTCTATGAATTCATTTTTCCACTTCTTAACCAGCTGTGTAGGAATCATATACCCATGGTTTTGAAGCTTGTTTCCAGATGCAGTGTCAAAATCCTCACCTGTTTAAAAACAGATTTTGTCTTCACAAGACTATAGGCCCCCCAAAAGAATCCAAGATATTTTCATAATTTCTCTTGGGACTTACGAAAACAAAAGAAACACTGAAAAATGGAGCAACTTCTAAATATATTCTACATTTACAGACGAACTCATTTCAAGGAATTCACTGAAAAAGGAAATAACTCTAAACAGGGGGTGATTTTTCTATTTGCTTTTCTTTTTGAATAACAGCTTTTTGCAGGGGAGGCCTCTGTGTCCATCGAATAGACAACAGTATCTGTGGCCATATTTGGGGCCTGAAGGTAACTATCTAAATCCTGCAAACGGTTGGAATAGCAACACAGGAATTCTCGGTCTCACTTAACAGAAATGACAGGGCCTCCTCTCTCAAAGCAGGTGCCCAAATACTGTTAATCACACTAGACCAAGCCACAGAGAACACATGAAAACCAAACCTCTCTCCTCAGCCCTCTGACAGGAGAGATGACCACAGTAGGTATTAATCAAATCCACTTAAATGATGATTTAAATTACTAAATAAAATGCTTCAATTTAATCAGTTATACTTTAAAAATGCATTTTTGTTCCTCTGATATAACCTGATCACATATTCTGTAAAATTCAGTCGACTATGAGTTTCACTTTCAGAATGTACACCGTATATGTTTAAATCTCATTTACGAAAACCATTCTCAGAAGTGTATCCCTCAGTAATTCTAGAAGATTCTGTGCAAAAGAAAGTTTTAGTATTTCCCATGTGCTCTTACTACCCCTCCCTCTTTTATCTTCAGATTCTCTTTGCCCAAATTCCTTCATTTTTAAGAATTACCTATTCATTTATCTGCTTGAAACTTTGTATTTTGGGAGAGAAAGCCAAGGAATGATTGATTATCTTGCCCCCATTAATGCTATTAACAAGCAAGGTTTCCACAGATAAAACCCGTAGACGGAGAAGGAAAACATGATTTCTGGCACACACAATAATATTTTTTACTCTGCCACCTACCCAAGTGGCTTTCATCGGCTCTCATTACCCCTTAATTTGGTCACGTGCCATCGTTCATGCCTGAAGTCAGCCGTTTAGGAGGGCCCACTAGAAGTCAGGCACTAGGATTAGCATGTGTCAGGATTCAGACCTAACAAAGCTTACATGTCAATAGAGAACAGAGACAGTAACAGCGACTGTACAAATAACTATACAGCACAAGACAGCTCTGCAGAGGTGCAAGGTGGGTGGGAGGGCAACTCCATCCAGAGCGGAGGGAGGGTGTCAAGGAAGACCTCTCTAAAAAGTAACGTTGCTTTTTTTTTTATCACTTACTCATAAAACATTTTTTAAAAGGTCACACAGACATTGTCTCGAATATTATGTCAGTTTCAAGGTAAGGTAGTATATGGGAAAGAGAAGGCTCTAAACCCAGAGAGGAATGAATAGAATCCTTGCTGTTACTATGAGGCCTCGAGCAACTCATGGTAAGGGACATGGGTGTACTCAGTATGTAGTGGAAGTCCAATAAATTATAGACTGTAATTAATAATTATAGAATTTATGATTTATCTTTGAATTTTGACATGTCAAAATAAAGGTAATTTTCCATTCATAGTTCTGTCTTTTCAAAAATATTCAACTGAAAGGAAAAATTTAAAATTCACTTAAAAAACGTATACTATGACTTCTGTGACTTTTTTCACTTGGATTGGCCAACTGCTATCATTTAGCTGTACAATGGCAGATAACATACACAGAGGCAAAAAGAACGGCTGATACATCTATGTTAAACAGTTCTTTCTATCAGCACCAGAAAAAGAGGACAATTCAAGCTTTTGAAACACAGCTCTCCAGACGGCGAACTCCGGGAGGGCAGTTCAGTGTTCTTCTCAACCACCCCACTGAGAGGGTGCAGACAGAGCCCTTCAGAGGCAGCTCAAATTCACACAGCCCGCGAAGCACTCCCCACCCCACCGTTAGCTCCTCTCATTCTGAGTCCCCACAGTGCGGATGTGAGGGCAATCTGGCTGTGACATCTGAGTCCCCACAGTGCTTACAAATACCCACCCCACGTGGCAGGGCCGGCCACACTGTTCGTTCCTTCACCGGACACTCACTGGACCTCCAGTTGCAACACACAGGCTCTGCCTTCAACAAGCTCCCGACCTGTGGCAGGTTTCACTGAGCATTCTGCAGACTGGTGGCTAACAGCCCTTTACTCTTTTGGGGCACAAAGCCCAAATCAGAAAACCAAAACATATGTGTGCTTTATGTTTTTAAATTAAAAAATGAAGAATTTCACTTGGTCCTAAAAAAGAGACTACTTTACTTATGAGAAAAATGAGGATCGGAGAGGAAAAAAGGATTTGCCTAAGGTCTCACAGCAAGTGAACAGCAGAACTGAAGCAAGAATTTAATTCATTCCACTCAGGGCTTCCCACCACATTAACTGAGCATTTCTGTGAGCCAGGCATTGGGTTGTACTGGGAACAGGAGTTAATGGAACTGCCTCCTCCATAAACTGGACCTCTCCCTCTCGTGGTTACAGGATTCGCCTCTGCCTGAGCTACACAAGATGGGGCACACCCTGCCGCCTGGAGCAGGCACCAGGCATTTCCTGGACTGCTCCGCCATAGGTTCCAGCTATTCTGTGCTACACTATCCTTAGGTGGCTCCTGGCACCCAAAGGTTCCAGCCTGCTGCGAGTCTGGCCTGACCCAGTACTTACCCTTCCTCCCCCAGAGGGAGTGCCTTTGCCAACCCTAGCTCCCAGAGCCAAAACGTAAAGCACCCAGGGATTCAGTCTAAAAAGCTCCTGTTGGCCTGGCTCTGACTAGGGCCTTTTATTTTCTAAGTCCCCTTGGTTTTTATGAGCTACATGACTGAAGTAGATCACAGACCATTCTGCAGGGACTACGAGGCTGCATGGGTCGAAAGGTCAGGGGATGTTCGTAACTGTTCTAGAAGGATGTTTCAGATAGTGTACTTCTTCCACCGAAAGATGGAATGGTGCTGGTTCAGGGAGAAGAACCTCTCTTACACCCAAATTCAAAATGAGAAATAACCCCAAGTCATTCTCAGATGATGAAGTGGCAGTCCCTGAGCGGCCAGGGAATGAAGCAGTGTAACTCAGAACCGCTGACAAATCACACCCAAGGCAATGGAAGTGGGCGTGGAGCCTGCGGCAGAAAAGGATCCCATGGGTGCCTAGTGAGACTCAGTCCAGCCCTTCATGGGAACCCAAGGCATCTGGAGGATGAGCGAAGTTCAAGCAGAGACTTACTCAGCAAACCTTTGCAGAATGAACGTATACGTGGTTCGTTCACGCATCCCCTCCATCAGGAAGCTTCTCTGGGGAGCCCAGCCCTCAGTCTGGGCCTCAGCAGCCCCTTCTGCACAGCTCTATCGCATTATACAGTAAGTACCTGTGCACTCACCTGTCACATTTATTCTGGTCTCAACAGAGTTCAGCATGGTGTCTAACACCAATGGGCACCACAAATGTTATGTGAATGAAAAAATGACCTGTTACCATGACTGCAACTCAGAGGTGCAACTAGGGCAGAGGTGAGCAGCAGCCCTCTGACGCCAGAGAGAAACGGCAGTGAAGGGGCGAAAGGGGACTTCCTGTAACCAGTGTGAAGACGGAGTGCTCCCCAGCCCTCACCAGTCCCTGAAGGCTCATCAGGCACAGGGAAGCTGTTCCATTCTATTTCTGGGGTGGGGAGACATAGCTAAAATATACAGTGGTACCTCGGTACTCGTTAATTTGTTCTGGAACTCGTGATGAGTACCAAACGATGAAGCATTTTCTCTTGTGGGGCAGTGTTGTGACTCATACAAGTTCTAGCAAGTGCGAGGAGTCCCAAGCAAGCACCAAGGACTAAAACATTTTTTTTTTCTCATCAAAATGTGATGAGTAGAGGGTTTGGCGAGTTGTGAAGCCGACGAGTACCGGGGTGTGACTGTATGTCTTCGTGCTTATCAAAATTGAGTATTTCAGCCTTGGGAAAGGGGAAAACAGCAGGTTAGCAGGTTCGCCTAGGTGAGCTAAGACTTTCTTTCATAGACCAGCTCCAGCTCTACTCTTAGATACTTACAGACTCAGAGTCACAATCCCAAGTTTAAAATGGACCAAGTCCCAGGTTCCAACAGGAAATCTTTTTAGACTTATAAGGCATGTGCTCTCAGTGTGAAACTTGTCAACTTACTTTTTCCACGTCTAGATCAGCATCCTGCTTCTTCAAACAACTGCAGAAGAAAAAAAAGAGAACTAACCACTCTGTAAACCACCTACAAAACACCACCATAGAATTTCCATTTGCTACAATCGATTTGCCCACAATTTTTTTCTTGTTCACACAATTGTTGCAAAGTCACAGTTGCCCTAAACACCCACCTGAAAGTGCAAAGACCTGGCCCTATACCACCAAAAGAAGCTAGTAAAGGATTTTAACTTTCAGGAGCCAGGAATAAGAATGGAAGTCTTAAATGAGCGCACACACACACACACACACACACACACACACACGCCCCTTCTTCAGAGCATCTACGAGTCACCCATAGATGGGATGGGATACACTAAAAGAGAGAGTCTTCAAGTTTTCCAGGGTCTTGTTCAACTTATATCTTGGCTTAAATTTCCCTCTAGCCCCTAGCAAATATCTGCTCCACTTCCTATCTGACTGTGGGTGGGCCTCACTGTGGAAACAACCTTTTTGCAATGACCCCCCACTTCTCATCAGCTAGGGTTCTCCTCTCTGGGAAGCCTGCCAACTCACCAGCCTGTACCAACTTGTCCACGGAACTTTAGCCTCAGGATTACCTTAGAACCTTGTGCCAAGGCCCTGGCAAAAAGCTGAGTGCCAATTCTGATGGCACCCATGCCCACTTCACATCAGTCTTCAAAGTGCCAGCAGGGGGGTGGCAGACTTCCAGTGTGCTCAGACACTGTCTACAACCTGCCAATATTTTAGTGCCTCATTTATTGCTTGCAATTTTAGCTGTTTGAACACGACTTCAGTTTTAACAAGGTGTCTAATGAGAACAATAAAAATGGTTGAATAGAATTGTGTTGACAGTAATATGTTTAGGGCAGAAAGTAAAAGTTTGAGGAATCTGAAAAAAAAAAAAGCAGAAGCAATTTTTCCTGTCTTAGCAGAGACTCAATTTTTGTTCATTATGAATCTTAGCATCTTTCTTTCTGGTCCACAGTTTTAAAACACCCCCATCATAAATTACTGTGCTCACCAAAACCACCCCCTGCCACATACACAAAAGAGAATTTTTGTGCTGTTTCAAAAGATGCATAATTAACAGTAACATCTTTGTTTTGTTTAATCAAAGATGACTCAGAATGAAGGGAAGAAAAAATGACCATGGGGAAGAGAATTAGAAACTCATATACTGTCTTTTACAGATGGGCATTCAAATCATGAACTCACGGCAGACATGCCAAAGAACCAGCGTGGAGGCTGGAGGGGGAGAATGTGCTAATGAAAGGAGCATGCCACGATGGCCTGTACCTTAGCAACCCACCTCACTCCATCTCCTTCTTGCTTCTGACACATGCTGTCCTAACCAAGGAGCTGCCCCCAGGCACTGCATGACTTTCCGCTGATGAACCACTGAGATCTAGACATTGCCAAGTTGTAAAAAATGGGAATTCTCTCTGTCCAGAAAATTTTAAACAGCCTCCCTATAACTAGAAAAGAGTAATACATTACTATGAGAACTTTTCAGCAAAGGGAACATACATACAGAGAAAGTCTGACTTCCATTCTTATACACTGTCACAGAGGTTTAGGAAGGTTGTCATATGGATTTATAGCAGGGAATTTTCTATTTGCAAGGTAAACAATTTCTTCATCTGCCACAGAAACGGCAGCTGAAGAACCATTACCCTTTTCCAAAGTATTGGGGAGACAGCCCCTCTCAGGCGTGCAGCACGACGGCAACCACACAGGATGCCCGACTCGGCAACAGGCTGTGAAAGAATGAGCCTTCACTCCACGGCATGTTAGCAACCGGTAACAACAGGAAAATGGAAAAGCCGCTTGGAGCCGCAGGCTCACTATTGCACAAGGCATCTGATCCATATATGTCCAGACAGCATCATCTGACTTCTGGTTCAGACCTACTAAGCAGATGTAGCTAACTGACAAAGACAATACATATATGCATTATCCTACAGCCATAAACCAGAAGGATGTCACGGCTTTAACTTCAAAGACTCCCAGCAAGCCCATGGGACCTTAGATATTTTTAGATACCAGCTCCATTGTTTCAAAGAAGACAGGGATGGATGAAACAGAATTGCCTAAAAGTGAAATTCACGTGGCGACCCCATCTAGAATGAAGAGTGGAGTTTGTTTTTAAAGCCACACATATCTTTCTTAAATAAAGGCTGTGTTTCTGAAAAGTTGGGAATAAATAAATTTTGGTTAAGAAATGTTTCAAGTGAAAACGAGACACATTTTATTTAAATGACGCCTTCATTTTCTTTAAAAATCATTTTTGACCAATTATTTTCCTACATGATCTTTATCTGAAATCTAGATGTTTAGACTATTCAAGTTTTAAGTTTCCAAGGCTGAAGGCCCTCTATCCCCTGTGTGTGTGTAGATGGTGGGTGGGCACATGTACCGTATTTTCAGACCATAAGGCACCACCTAGGTTTTAGAGGAGGAAAATAGGAAAACCATTTTGAAGCAAAAAAATGTGGTAAAAATTTTAATAACATAAATAACGTAATTTTTCACCAATGTACATGTAAACAGAACTCAACAGCAGCATTAACAATCATTATTCCTCTCAAATTTGGAGGGGGGATGAGTGTGTCTTATAGTCTGAAAAATATGGTAGTTACACAGATATTTTAATAGTTGACTATGTATCAATTGTGGGCTTGTGGGCATTAGGACATTTTCTATGCTTTTATTTTTTCTGCTGAAGTAGTGCTGATGTTTAGTTTGAGAAACATGACTTAAACGACCCAGATTCCTCAGGTTAAAAGCTGACACATAAATGTTACAAATTTGTGATCCACTTGAGGAATTAGAAACTAAAGGACAAAGCCTTGACCAAAAGAATGACAGCAGTACCCCATTATTGATGGTTTCACTTTCTGTGGTTTCGGTTACCTTTACTCCTGAAATATTAGATGGAAAATTACAGAAAAAAACAGTTCATAAGTTTTAAATTGTATGCTGTGCTGAGTAGCATCCGACATCTTCCTCTTTCTAGTCTGGGACGTGAATCATCCCTTTGTCCAGTGTGTCTACGCTGTATACATTCCCCGCCCATTACTCACTGAGTAGCCGTCTTGGTTATCAGACCAACAGTGCTTATTGTGCTCAAGTAACCCTAATTTTACTTAGGGATGACCCCAAAGCTCAAGAGTAGTGGTGCTGGCAACTGGGATATGCCAAAGAGAAGACATGAAGTGTATGCACGTATAGGAAGAGACATAGGGTTTGGTACTCTCCGTGGTTTTAAGCATCCATTCAGGGTCTTGGAATGTATTCCTTGAAGATAAAGGGGGACTACTGAACTCCCAGCTATTGAGATCAGATCAAATCTTTCTTCTTTGGGAGAATATAGGACAGTTTTTATTTTTAGAGAAAAATCTAAAAACAAAACTGAGAAGCCTTCAGATCTGAGCTAGCGCCCACCACTTCTGTATTTCCAGATGCCCCGGGGACATCTCCAATAGGCACTTATCAAAAGCACCTTACGGCTGTACAGAGCAGGCAGAGGGGTAACAAGGCACAGTCAAAGGGGCATCAGCCATAGGTTCAGAGAATTTCGAGAGGCTTGATAATGCTACAGGACAGAGCAGTGGGTAAGAGGATGGTGGCAGGCTTGTGGAGGCGGCATGTCAACTAAGGAGTCAGCCAGTTAGGGACATAGTTCTGCTTCCTCTGACCAGTGTATTTTCAACCCACCTCTCTCCCAGGAAGGGACAGAAAAACAGATGCGGCCCTCAGCATACTCCTGGGCTTAGTTAGCATCATCATTCCCGTCTCACTAACCCTGCTGGGTCAGTACACTTTTCTCCTAAGTGGTCTACAGGGCCCAGCACAGAAATCATCTTTCACTTTTGTTTTCTTTGGTTTCATTTCTATGCAGAACCAGATCTCTTCTCTCTTCTTATAGCACTTTATTTACTACCTGTTTCGGTCTCCCTTGCTCAAATGCCAGTCCGTCTGGCCAGGACACACAGAGCGCAGTGCCCGCAACACAAGGGGGAAAAGCACCATCTCTGCTGGTCGGGGCGTGAGGGTGGTGAGGGGCTGTGACACAGGAACTGGTGAAGAAATGACTGACAAGGAGGAAAGGAATGGAACTGCACTGCATCAAACCCACCCGCTCCCTCCTGCCGTAGGTAGCAGTAGGGGTGTGTGTTGGGGAGAAAGGCTGTACTCACATATGACACAGAGCACATCCACAGCCAGAAGATGACCTTCTCTTTCCATTTAGCCCCATGTCTTTAGCTACAAATGAACAATAATCCAATCTGGAGATTCTGCTGTTACTTTTAAATATTCCCCAGTGTTTCCTGTTTTATTTAGAAACTGTGACCGAGAAACTGAGATTCAATACATTAGAGTCATAATCACATCTCATATGTGGTGAAGGAGATTTAAGGGGATCCTGACAAATCCAAGATTTAAATCATGGTTTGAATTTTGTTTACCTGTTTTAAGAAAAGGAAGATTGGGAGAGAAATGTGGTATATTTTTCTCTTGCTACAGAACCTTCTCTATACTCAACTCAACCCTTTTTACTACTTGCGAAAGATTTAAAATATTCATTGATCTGCCAAAAAAACATCTGCACATTACCAGACACGTCTTCACATATTCACATCTGAATGGCTTCTTTCTGCTCCAACGATCATAGCTCTATTCAACCAAAACTACAGTGAGAACCTCAGAACTATACGTGGTGTGATGTCTGTGGTGACTGAGGATAAAACAGTCATTTGATAGCAACTTCTCTATCGAGTGTGTCAACAGGGGCCGTGTTTCTTCAGTTATTCTTAACTTAGGACCCAAGGCACAAAAAAGACCAGGCAGGGCCAGACTCTGCCACAATTCCAAAGAGAGCGGAGACACATGCGGACTGCACACAGAAGCCCCTCAATGTTCTCTGGCGAAGGGGTGGCCCCTGGCTCCCTGCCTGAAGCCCAGGAACAGGCCCACTCTCACAGTGGCCTCCCAGATGCCTGCACAGCTGCACAGACACGA